ATGAAACAACTTGACGTGCATATGTATGATATCATGTATGATGTATTTGTGAAGTTTGATTGATTTGATTTGTGAAGTTTGATTGATTGTGACACATGCACAGACGCACGCACGGAGGTCAAAACATAAGTCCCCGTTTTCGGACTGCGTCCGAACGGGGACTAAAAATGTGTGAGAAAATGAATGAGTGAATGTGTTTTTTTTACTTCAGTGCACACAGTGTGGATGATACATTGCTTATAAAACACATTTTACTCTCACAGTGTGTGCTACATGTGGTGGGCGTTTCACCACTTTCACTTTCTTGAAATCATTTTTTTTTGCTTTTCGTTTAGTTATTTCGCCTTCTCATGTAAGCATGCTATGATGTGTTATCAGTTGCTCTCTGACATGACACTGTTTTACAGATTACATATCTATATTTGCTTGTTTCCAATTGCTTCTTATCTTTCAATGCCCCTACAAATGTTATAACAGACTTACATGTATGTGAAAACAAGCCGCTGGCATCGATGAACAGGTTGAAAAATCATTGCCATAACTTCATGAATGTTTTCTAGATATTTAACTTGTCAAATTACAAGCATATTAGTGTCGTTGGATAAACACCAAATTTGCAAAGCTTTAAATTATGGCTCCAGGTGTATAAAAGGAAAGATGGCCATATGCAGTATTTCAGTATGCAAATGACACCCAAGCATGAAACATTGCTCTGCAAAATCACTTTTGACAATCTTAACGCCTGTAGTGCGTTATTTTTATATCATCATATTATCATATTATATCACTCAAATATGAATAATTCCGCAATAGAATTTTTATGTTAATTTTGGAGCCATGTTAGTGTAATTTCCATGTAAAGGCGACGGGGAAGCATGATTCAAACAGTCGTTTTGACTGCTCAAAATGGCCATCAGTCATGGGTTTATGAAAATGCAAGGTGTTAATCAGAGTTGTTTGTTCAATCTCTAAGAAGTTATGTTTATATATAGGAGTTGATGATGTAAGTGATATCATGTGCTACGTTCACACGACAGCATTTTATCGGAGCCCAACGACTCGAGCCAGCAAAAATGGCTGTGTGAACGCGTTTGGCTCGAGCCAAGTTCGGCTCCACTAAACCCTCAGGGTTGAACTCTGATAGGGTTGAGTCCCGACATGGCTCCAATCGTGTAAACGCATCGGGCCCAAGTATCGGAGCCAAAATCACGCCCTCAATCGTCTTCTTCGAGTAACCTCTCATTTCAATTATGGCGGAGACAACATCTTTCATAATTTCACGCAATTTCCTGCTTGAATAAGAGGTACACGTCCTAGTGTATAGTAACGAATCATTGCGATAGATTGATAGGTCAATGGGAAACAAAAAATGGTGTACGAAATTATGCGACAAAAACTTGAAAGAACGACTGAACGGAAACTTTTTAAAGACACTAAAGATAAAAATCGTAGAAGCGATCGTGGTACGGTGACGTGTTCCTGGTAGGTTTAGATTCTTCCATAGTCCCTCTATGATAGATAGAGAGAATCTGTGATTCTTCCTACTAGTTTAGATATCACTACAGTTGAATAGTTACAAAATGGTAATTTTGCATGACAATACTAGTAACTTGAGCGAATAGGCTGTAGTAAACATATTGTAGCTGCCGTGTTTCCTGTTTATTCGAAATACTAGTACCAAAATTTTAATACCAGTCATTGTCTTTTCTACCTCCATGGTCAGGCTCCTTTTTCTCCTAGCTCAACAGCATCATGCCATGTAAAGAAAAAACACAAGCACGACACTAAAATCGTTTTCAGTCACTAATTATTCAAGGGCACTGTTCCGCTCGGCTCTGATCGAACTGAATCTAACTCTGGCAGATCTCGGCTCTCGTTCGGCTCCCGACCGTATGAACGCATTGTAGATAATCTCCTGTTAATCCGTGGGAGGAGCAGTAGTTCGAGTCCGATAGAATGCTGCCGTGTGAACATAGCAATGGAGTTAATAGGAAATGATATGCTGTGAGCTGTTTGTTTGGCCACTTAAGGGGCGTCGCGGCACTCCACAAAGTGTTCTGTGCGAAGTGCAGATGGCACGAGCTAGGGTATGCACGAGAGGGAGGGACTGTGCTTAAACGTTCCAATAACTTCCTTAGTATATGTGTGCAAAAAAAAAGACATTCGTGGTTACAGGGCTTGTAAACTTGCTGGATTCTTATTTTTACCGTCGGCAAACAGAGGTGAACTAGGTCAGTTACGAGAAAAGAAAAAAATTGTTTTCACCCCATTGTCGATGAAAAGACGAATCAAGCTGTGGATACTGGCCTAGATTAGTTCATTGGCGGATGTGACAGGCCTGGTTGGTCATGATAACATGATAATAACGGGGTTCGTTTGAGGGGCTTGTCAACAAATACGTCTCAAACAATATGTGGAGTATGCTTCTCAAATTTAATATATGACGTTCTGGACAATTTAAAACGTACAAATGTGTCCCACATTTAGAATGTAGATACAGACATGGTGATTTAAAAAATCAGGGTCTTTTTGTAGCCATTTAGTCACAATACAATGTAATATTCTCGCTATCTTAATTAGTCTAGGTACTTACTATGTTGTTGTCTGTTTTCATATTGCAATATTGTTATGACTAGAAAGAAAGTTGTAAATTATGTGCACGAAACTTATCGGGGAAGTTTATTAGGGTTATTAGAACATTGATTAAGACTTTCCCAAGGATGTTGTAAATTACCAATAAGAATCTTGTATGTACTCAATGTAACAAACGACATACCTCTTGATATAACCAAAGACAATAGAAAAGATGTCTTTGATATAACAACAGAGGTAAAAAAAAAATATTATAACTGTTAACTCAAGACGGTTATGTAACACAGTACAGGCCTTGATTTTCCCAACAAACAAACCTGTTGTGTTTACATGCAAGAAGCTGAGAGACGGGTCAATCAAAAACTGTGCAAAATAACTTATTCTTCATTTAGTATTGTGGTATTTTTTTTTTGTTTCCATGATAAAATTGCTGTAATGCATTTTTTCTATGCAAGTTATTATTTTTTTCAATTCTGTAATCGCCCCCGAATTTCCAATGGTCAACCCCTCCTACCTTAGCTCCGGTACATGCTGTTGCCGACACGGGGTGGTAGAGTTAAAAAACACTCAACATTTAAAAAGCGCTTCACATATCTTACCGCGTTCATGTTTTCTTCTGGGTCTCCTCTAAACATTACATCTGCAAATAATTTATCTGCAGCTACCGATCTTGCATTGTACACAGAAAACAACAGTACGGAGGAGACAAATGTAGCAACCAGCAACTTCATGATCAGAACTGAGTCACATGACATGACAGAATCATGTGACCATTATTTGGACCGTGCCATTCTTGTTTGGGTAGGCGAGCGTACACATATCAAACAGAACAAAGGAATGCGGTGTTTTTGAAGATTTTCGTATTAAAAAGAAATTAAGAAAACAATTGGCACGTGTTCCCGAACTGTACAATGGAAAACACAACCACTCAAAGTATAAATAAATAAATATCGAACGATATGTCTTTTCGGGATTTTGAAATATTGATAATTTTTTTTTCATTTCTATTTGATACACAATTTTAATGAGTGTTACATAATTTATCTATTCCGTGTCTCTTTATTGTTGTAAGTTTCTGAGAAAAGCAAAAGCAATACGTTTGAACGAAAATACAAATATGCACTACATTTTGTTATGCGAAATAGAAAGTAAAGAACGACCTTCAATGCAACGAGAAACACTTTTGTGTGGACAAGTTCAGTATCCCCGCCATAGCATATCACGCTGGAATTTAAAAGAAAAAAAAAACGGAAGATTTTTTATGTTGACCTCAAGGTTAAAATGTTTTTATGTGCCGGTCAATTTGTGTTTATTTGTTATGGAAGCCGCCATATTGATTGAGCCTGCCTAGGCATTGTTCATTTAGCTGACCCCCTCTAGGACTAATTGAAAAATTCGGCATGTTCATTATTTTTTGTTGCGATTTTTTGTGTCGATCCCATTTCTATATTGAACTTTATACCGCCTTAATTTGATCACAGCTTAACGTTATCGCCGGATTTCTCCTGCGGTTTAAACGCCGAGGTTCCGAAGTTGGATAAATGTCCAAGATATTTGTCAGTTGTGATGTAAATTGGTCGTTTTGGATAGCTGGAAAACCGAGTTTGTGCGTCGAGTTTCAGTGTGTTGGGATTCGAGACTGAAGGTCTTTTGTGGAAGTGGGTGCATCAGTGATCAGCATTGGAAATGTGAACTCACTTCACGACTTTACTTAATATAACTCGAATTGCTAATGATCTACTATTCTTTGCGAAGGAAAAATCGCAGATAACTATGGCGAAACATCTCGGAAAGGACCCCGATGACTACGAAAGGGAGTACGAGTCGTTTTTGAACGACCTCAGACGGTTTCATGCAGCCAAGGGGTGAGTGATTTGCTCACGTTTAGTTTATCTCAATATTTGGGTCTATTTCCCGATTTCTGGTATCGGAACTTAGTGATTTACCGTCTCCGATCACTGATTGACTCTATTTTATTTAATAGGACTGCGTTTTTAAAACCGCCGGCGTTTGGTCGGCAAGAATTGGACTTGTATTTGCTATACAGTAAAGTGACTGCTATGGGAGGTTTTACGAAGGTACGTTTTTGCTCATCTTCAGAAAAATATCTGCTCCGCCTGTATTGTTATTTCTCGCTCTCCACTGAGAAGTTTCTGCTACTCCGTATAACTCGGTTTGTTTATATACTTTGTGTCGTGTTGTGGAGTAATATTTAGAGATATTTTTATAATTTTGTTCGGTTTCTGAGCAGCAGTATTGTCGAAGTTAGGTTGTGTCGTTGTCGTTCGTTTCCCATTTTATCCATTTTACCGATCAGCTGTTTTTCATATGTTAGGTTTTCATTCGCTGTGTTTTCTTTTCAAATCTCGCGCTCACTCTTCGATTTGTAACCCTTTCCTTTCATAAATTGATAATTTGTCGTATTCTTGAGCATTCTCGTGTTTTCTCGGCCCGTATTTCGGATATCTGAGTACCATATTGGTTTGTATTGGGGGTGTTCTTTGTTTGTGGAATAGCTGTAGTAAAAATATATAACGATTCTCCGGTAAAGATAGTTTTCATTAAAACAACTCGAATCGCGCAGTTTTATTGTTGACATTCTATCCATTCAGTTCCAGTTTTATGCATATGATTAACTTAAAATTACAACAGGATTTCTAAAGGTGGTTTGACGCGGTAGTATTTTTGGCTCTCGTGCTTATTTTCTGGGTGTGTTTTTTCGTATTTCTGAACAGGTTTCGGATGGCGGTAAATGGGAGGACTTGCTGGAATTGTTTGATACTCCCAAAAATTGTAGCCATGCAGCTTTCGCAGTTCGTCAGTTTTACCTCAGGTAAGTGGGTCGTTATGAGTGGGAGTGGTGTGAAAGATGCTTTTTTTTATTCAAGTCTGAAAAGTATAAAGGTGAAGATCTCAACGTCTTGGTACATGTACTAATTTAACCCTGCTTGTAAAGATGGGATGTGTCTCCCCAAATATAGGGTGATCAAGTGTATATGCTAAGTCATTCATGATATAATATTAGTGCTTACATGTGTAGCTAACCTGTAATATTGTTGTGCTGTAGTCATCATCATTGATTGAGATGTTTGTTGTTTCCCAAGTGCTTTATACAAGATGTGTTACCTTTTTAACAAGTGTTAACTTTTTAATTTAAGCAGTGCTTATGAATTACTTTTAATCCATGAATGCTTATCTTCCGTGAATTTTTATCTTTTTTTTTTTTTGTAAAAAGAAATTTGGAATCTGGTCTTGTATGTGTATGCAACTTCAACATCATATAAAGCTGTATTATCAGTATATTAGTGCGTCTTGAATCTTAAATTGTTTTCAGTCTCCCAATCATATCTCCACAATGATAAATTCAACATGTAGAATATAATTTTGATGTTCTTATATCATCGGTTATAAGAAGCATTTGTTTTTACCTTTACGTAATTTATTAGTGAAGCGGAAACAGTAACTTTTTTTAATTTGTTTATTTTGCATATTGTGCCTTCAGAAAAGAAATGTCCAAATTGTTTCTCTATCTTTGTCTTTCTGGCATACTATTTATCTGTGTTCACAAAAAAAAACCAAAAAAAAAAACGTGCAAATGTGTAAATTTGTAGAATAGATATAAAAGTGCAGGATCAGACCTGTTTAGAAATCATAAGAATTACCGGATAGATCTGTGACATTTATTTTCTATTTATCTCTATAGTTTAAAAGGATCCAAATAATCCTGATGATTGTGGTAGTGTCTTTACACCATACCATGTATGTAAATTTCTATAGGGCGGCATAATTACTGAATAATGTAGTGATTCCATGCATGAAAATTAGTGTTCATACCATGCTTTGCAGACATGCATCTTTTTTGTACTTTAGTAATATGGATTTACTAACACCAGATGCTGTTGAGCCAGTATATTAGAATGTTGATAGAGTTTGTTTCACAGAATTGTTTCCCATTGATTTGTTTAATTGAAATTTCTTCCAGTAAATATGTAAATTCACCAATATTGAAAGTCACAAGTTTAGTATCTATGTATCATACTTCAGTGAATTAGGTTTCACTCTTCAGCAGCATAGGTTTGTGTGAGTACCTAAAATAACCATCAATGCAAGTAAACATTTGTAATATTTAGCGTGTACGTGTTGGAAATTTGGCAAGAGAAAATTCAATTGCTTACTGCAATTAAAAGTGTCTAAATGAAAATTGCAACTTTTTAACTGTTTGATCGGCAGATTTTATTGTTCAATTGGAATTCCTTTGATTTGAAAAATTTTCTTGTATAGTAATTGTTCTCAAAACTCATTTAATGTAACAATGTCGGGCCACTTATGAGATACAGTACAATGTGCACACAAGGACCCATGTGTTCTCGCCATTGGCGAGGCAATGACGAGGCCATGTCTCGCCAATGTCGAGTCAATGGTGTGCCAGTGGCGAGGTCATTAAAGGGCTCGCCCTCAAAAAAGCGAGCCCAAGGTCGAGCTCGGCACGGTCAGTTAAATATGACGCACCTTATTTAACCCGGCGAGACCGGTATTTTATGGAACACCAAAACATAAAATATCACTTCAGCATGGTTACACGAGCGTTGTTTGAAAAGTTGAAAAAATGTTTTTTTTGTTGATTACATCATTAAGGTTTGTCAGATTGAATTATTTGCCCGAGTGGAAATTAATCTTTACAGACCCGATCGTTTTGTGAGATTTACGTGGGTATGTGTGCATGTATCTGAATGTCGATTTCATATCATTGGTAGTTGTAAAAATAAAACAAAAACACTCGAAACCTCAGTGACACCCCGGTTTCCAAATATATGTTATCATATTGTTTTGATGATGCGCGAGTAATTTTGCCATGCATGTAAATCAGTCGGTCCCTGGTCCACCATTATATTACCGATGTCTTGATTTACCCCTGCATCGATCTGTAAAACGGGTCTCATTATGTGACAAAATAATCGTCACAAACTGTTTGTGTTCACTTCAATTCCAATGTATAAACTGTCATCATGACGTTCATAGAGGTAAAATGCTACGACAAAGTAAAATTGTTTTACGTGGAGTCATTGCGTGATGTATGTTTCCTTCACAGTTCAGTCAGAGGTCAATGACAATGTGGTAACTAAAACCTCCAAGCTAAAACCATGTGGTCAGCAACAGAAATTATACAAGTATGTTTTCGAATTAGATAATATAATAACCGCACTTTAACTAAGACATAACCGTCAAGTTCTCCCTGTTCTGTGTTCACGCGAACTTCGGTAAGATTTTTATATTTAAAATGCCAATGCGGTAAGTGTCGCCGAGACCTAAACGCAACAAAAGAAAAATGAAAAGCTGTCTAGCTGGTTGCCATGACGTTGACTTTTGAGGGCACCGCTAGCCAATAATACATATGGATTTACGTAACTCTGTTACTTTGTACTAAACATCTGTTTTGTTGCATAGTGCGATGCATTTTACTCAAGCGATTCCCGTTAATTATCGTGACGCCGACCGGTCCCCTTGATTAACAACGAATATTTTGCCGTGTAACTCTATTATTGGAGACTGATCGCGACCTTGTCCCGTGATTTTTTATGTTATTATTGGCTAGACGGGCTTTAAATTTGCCTTTTTAAATTTGTAAGTGGAACGGATGTATTATAGGGGAGGTGAGGAAACAATACACACGAATTATTATTTGACATGTCATTTTTAGTATTACATACTACCACGTTGCTGAATATGTTTTTGGTAAAATAAAGACAGTGTACACTCGAAAATTGACTGTGTCGGAAAATGTATACTATCATTACCAATTTACCAATAAATGGAATGGAAGGAAGTAGGACTGACTTCCATGATAGGAAAAACAGATATCTTGTAATGTGTAGTTTACTCTAGTGTAGCGACAGTTACGTAACATCATGCAAGCCTTCAATTTCTACTTATAGTACAGTATAGTACAAATATTGACTAACAGTGTTGGGTTACTAAGTTTTCATTGTAGTTTTCAGACTAGGTGCATATCGTCCCCGTTTTCTACCTACATTTGTACTCCACGACCAGTACAATTTCCAAGAATACATATACTAATTAAGCCAAGCAAAAATATAGGAAAGATGTTTACGAAAGATACCTGAAATCAAGAATGCACCGCATTCGCATACAATACTACTTTGCATATATTTTACATTAATTGTATACATAATATACTGCTTACCATTTAATATAAATTTTATATAATTTCATTGCTTCAGTCAAAATGTACTAAAAAGTAAAACGTGTACATTGTGATAGTATTATAATTTGCTGTGACACTGAATGCTGTTCCACATTTGCGTTGGCCGATCAATACAAAACTATGACTATTTTTGTGTGTATACTTGAGTGTCTGGAAAATTGGTATGATGACAACCGTTTTCACGGGATTAAACCTCCGCAAATGGAAACAAAGACAAAAATGGAAGGAAGGTGATGATGTATACGATAGGACTATCAGAACATATGCCGAGCTGTCATTGGTTTTTTCCCCACGGCGAAAATTATCAATAAAATGAGCTAGTCTAGTTTAACAATAACAATGTGTTCTGTATTTTATTTTGTAATTAATTTATGGCCAGTTTCATACACTGACGTGAGTGAAACAAACTATTGACAAGTGAGGCAATCTTACGCACGTTGTATGTCAATGTTATAAAATGTCATGCCTTTTTACGTACACAGGTGTGATGATGTTACCGGGCTCTTCTATCGGCGCGCCACCAGGGCGCACCCAGCATTTACACATCACACTTTGAACCTTAGTGACTCTGATGTCCACTGAATATGTACTTTTCCACATACATTTGTATGTTGGTTATCAGTGTTGTGTATTACACAGGGACATGTTCAATGTATGTCAGCGCGCATCTTGTTTTTATTCTTTTCAAACCCATTTGCGTGTTTTCATATGCGGAGTTACTAACCATTGGTGTGACATGCAATTCACTTGTAGATTTGGCACATCGCGAAATGCGGGCTTCTGCTTGGACAAGGGACTGATCAGTGTCGCTTAGAATTTAAACGCCAGTTGTGTCAGAGTTTCCGACGTGAATAATATGTGTGCCTGTGTGAGACCATGGTGTAATTTTATTTCAATAAAAAAAAATGATTGAATGAAGTACAGAAATATCATCACGACCAGCGTGGAGCATGACAAATGTTTTGTGTGTACTGAATTATTGCAAAAAACTTTTTTACCATAGTTGTTATTCTGAATGATGTGTTGGTTCTGATAGAGACCATTTGGTTTGTGCGCGCAAAGTATGTGAGTTATTTAATACCGTATTGGTATCCAATGTTATCGAGACGACGTTCCAGTGTTTTAACAGCAGTGGCGAAAAGCTTTCAAAAAATACTCCTGTTTTCTTGGCTGCCGAGAATAAATTAGTGTAGCCATTAATTCAGCAGCAGAAGACCTTTTTTTCTTCACTCTGGTTGTGGTCAACGTCTCGCCCAGTTCGTATGGCTGGTCGCCCACTATCTACACGCCGTTGACGTAGTGGCGAGACCAAACAGCAAGAACCTCGTATATGCTTTAACTGTAACTGCAGCAGAGGGAACAACTACAAAGATTATATTTACTTTCTATTATGGCCATGTCGACCTTGGTACTGAGACGCTCTCAGGCAGTGAATAAGTTAGTACATGAGACCATTTGTACCGGTCTTTTTGGCAGTCTCACTGCGACGTTTACATTTATAGCAGGCGGCTGTATGTTAAGAAATGTCGCTCTGTGTAAACTTGCCCCAATTTTTATTATTGACAGGAACACAGTTCTTCCCCGTTTTTAAAAAAAAATAAAACATCTGC